CATGAAACTTTTCCATGGATCAATATAGATGGATATTGATGCGAGACACATGAAACAAGTACATCCAGTATTTCCCAAGCATACTCTTTAGAAAGGGCAGCATGTAAGCAATGGTGCATGGTCCAAGTTTAAGTGGTGACTCATTTTCATATGTTTAACCTAACATCTCCATCACTACTTAACATGCCATGGTTGAGCTTAAACCCATTGCTTCATTGGTGACAAACACCTGGGGTGTTACAGCCCTCCCCCCTTAAAGGAATCGCGTCCCGAGATTCGATGCGAAAGACTTTTAAGGGAAGAGAAACTTGTCATCTAGTTTCCAACATCAGTGATAGCATTAGGCTACTTAACTTTGGAGTATCAGAGAGACTAATTTAGTCACGACACTTTCTGATACTTGCTCTTTGTCGTAAGTTGTTGTCTGAAGAATTTCCTTCTTTGGCGTCCATAAAGCATTGTTACATTGGAAGGAATCCAAGATAGCATTGTCCTTCGTCCTCGATGTACGAAGAGTGATTCAAACGTAGACTAAATACTTGTAACATTTACTTCCCCAGTGGATATAGCACATAACTCATGGACTTTGCACTAGATTGCAGTCGGTTGACGGATATTCCTGGCAATGGTGCTATATTTGTTCCCAAGGGTTGAAAAGCAGTTCTCTACTAAAGTGGCTTGAGCACAACTTATCGTAAAGGATGTGATCATAGACGGGGTAAACATCCTTTGAGGGCATGAGAAGCTAGTTAACCAATATCCAAACTGGTTGTAGCGGTGCACTCACTCATATGTCAACTGATGGAAAGCTACACAATGTTCCATGTGTGCAATGCTCTTTCTCTGATAACAGTACTGTATTACCTGAGTCAGTTGAGTGAGCGGTGAATGTGATAGCTGACTCTGTTGACTCAGCGTTTTTGACGACCATTATTTAAGGGAATTCTCGTATCCAAGCGGCAACAGTTATCTGAGTTGTATTTGAGGCAACCCCTTGTATAAAACACATGGAAGACACCTTAGGCATGTCAGCATTGGAGAACCATTGACGCAGAAGGATGTTAGCGAGGCTTGGAGGGCAACACAAGTTGCAAGTAATCACAAAACTAGGGACTAGTTCACTACCAAGCAGGTTAAGTACAATTTGCCTTCGTGGTGCAGTTGCACAGCAAGTTGGGTTTACTTGTATCGTAGCAAAACCAGCTTTCTTAAACTATATTTGACGTCGAGGCTTCCATTCTTAGGCCAATCAATATCTCAAAAACCATAATCCAAAAATCTATGGTTTGACACCTTTCCAATTACTTTTGAATTGCAAGGGCACAATTTGAAATCTGTTGTTTGACGCCTTTCAAAATGCTTCTGATTTGCAAGGGTACAAATTGACTCGTAGAACACCTCGATTGCTCACACATCGCTGATCTAAGAGGGCAAAAGCAAGGCACATAGGGGTGCAATTAGTCCACTCAAGGGTATGGAGGATTGCCTAACAGCAATACACCTACAAGTTGTAATTTCTTGGCATGAATTACAAACACAACCGTCTAATGCAAAGGATGATCGTAGTCACAGCGAAATTGCAGATTCTGTACCCTTTTGTTTTCTATTCATATCTCACAAACTAATGCTCCAATATGCACAAATTTTGGTGGGCATGTAGATCCATGGGTCTTCTAACTACTCACCAAAATTCAACTCGACCGGACACCGTTTAACCATCCAAACAATTCATCTACCAAAACTGCTGCGTTCTGAAATGGCAGCAAACCGAGCCGACAAGATATCTCTCAAATCCAATGTTTTACTCAACCAATACTCAAGCCAACTTAAGACATTGAAGGGTCCTAAGCAAGGAATAATATCACCAAGTTTGGGGTCAATCCAACTTCGTTTGAGTCACTAATCGTCGGCTTGAAGAGAACTGGTTTCATGCCACAAAATCTGGACAGATTTCTAGGTTTAATGGAATTCGATTTGGTTAACGTAAGAATCATGCTTTGATGTTTACAAATGATTTGTAGAGAATTTCATAAGCTTTTCAGAATGTCCTCTTGCAAGTCATTTGAATTTATAGAACTCTGGTTATGATTGAATTAAGGAACTACCCGTGTGCATATGAAACTTTAACTGTTGTTTTAAGTATGCGTTTACTATTTCTAAGTTTGTGGTAATGTTCCTAGGTGTTAGGCCTTTAACTGAATATGAGCATCTTTATCTTAGGTTATGCAAGTTAGGTAAGTTGATCTTGTTCTTCAAGTTAAGTTAGATACACATTTTAAAGTGATTTGAATAGAGCTATTCTTAATCGGTAAATGAATGTCCAGTGATGTTTTCGTTAAACACTTACTATGATTCATTCATCATGAGCATCATGTCATTCCTTATGCATCCATGATGTTTATCTTGTGCATCGGCATGGAATAGGTGTACCGGAAGGAGTGACCCTGCTGGAATTCAAGGAACCGAGCGAGGAGCAGCAGCAGCCAACATCGGAGGTTCAGGAGGTGCAGCCTTCAGGAGAAGGGCCAGACGAGGTCGCCGTTGAGTGCCCGGATCACCGTCCGTGCAACTTTGTGAAAGGCAAGCTCCGGAGCATATTAAGCCTCCTAATTTCCGAAATGCAGTTAAAGTATTATTGTTGCATATATATATTGTTGCATTAAGTTTAGGTGTTGGATGCAAACACTTGCTGCATTGATTATCCAATCCTTGTCCAGATATTGATACCCTGAATCCTATGTAGCTCAGGTTCGTGTAGTGCTTAGCCCTGCTTAAACACGGTAGAAGTCAGATGATTTCCTGTCACCTGCGAGATATAGGAAGATACATATGGCACGGTTGGCTATATTTGCTATCGTGGAAAAGAACCAGTCTTAATTTGAAATGAAGACCGGACGGAGGCTTGTCGGTTTGCAGTGACTCTGTCTGTGTCGCTTAAGGACTGAATCTTGGAGCCTTTCCTGTTCATGTTGAATGCATGCCTCTCTCTTAGTTGGCCGGGTCTGGAGACCGACCACGAAGTCGAGTAGCTCACCTCAGGCCAGGAGTCGATAAGTATAAAGTGCGCCTCGGAAGGGAGCCGTAGGCGTGAGTCCAAGGGCAGGTGATTTAAAAATCCTGATCGTCCTGGCAGAAGGGTAATCCCTGAGAGTGCTGGCGCTGATCGAACCCGTGAATTTGGTTCCTGAGTTGTCCCAAAGGTGACCCACGGCTACCCTTGCAAAGTATGCCAGGGTGAGAGTTAGGAATACCCCCTCAGCTAAGTTGTAATTCGATTCGAGTCGCCGTCTCTCCCGGTTAGTGAGAACTTGACGGGTTTATCTCCAAAGTAGATACACTAAATAACCTAATGGTTCAGAAATGATGATATGATGATGACAACCTTATTATACCTGCTATGGTTAATATTGATTGCTCCTAATAAGTGAGTGCTCTAGTACAGGTGCTAATCTAGTGGACAGGTAAATGATGATAAGCTTGATGCTAAGTTTAAATTGGTTACTATGCTCATAAGCTCTTTTATACAACTGTGTCCAGCTAGCCCACCTCATAAGCCTTGCATGATCCTTGGTGTCTTTTATTTCTGGTTTTGTCGGGTAAGTCTAGCTGAGTACGTTCTCGTACTCAGGGTTTATCTCCCATCTGTTGCAGGTGACCAGTTCTATTTTGGTTGCTGCAAGTATTGTCTTCTCCCGGCTGGGGATGAAGACTAGACCGTTGGGCACGGTCTCTCCTAGTTCTCATATCTGAAGATGCTTTTGTGGGACATGACTAAGATCTAGCAATGTATTTGAAACTATGAAGTTATGTACTAAACTATGTTGCTTCCGCAAATTTGAACCTGGTTTGTAATATTTTATTTGAACTCTAATGGATGTAATCCGAATGCTACTTGTGAAATGTTGTAACGAATGATGTGTTGTGTTGAATCACTACTGTCTTGGTTTGTATGTCGAGAGTTGTTTGAAATCCTTCGTGATTTCCGGACTACCGGGATTATGGGAGCTTAAGTACAGGAATTTGATCACTTCGGTGATTGTTTTTGTACTTACGTTCTTATAATTTGGTCGGTTCTGTTACAGATTTGAGCTGTCACCATTGGAGCACTTGTGGTCCCACCAATCATTCCACCTGTCCCATTTCGTGGAGGAGGCAACAGTAGCACCAACACATTTTCTCGCACTCCCTCTCCTCACTCTCACTCACCCACTCTCTCTAGTTCATCTCTCCACTCTCACACACATAGATCAAGGGTTGGAGATCGCCACTAGCTAAAAGAAGACATATATGGAGGCCACCTAGGTGCTGCTATCCACAAGGGCTGGGGATAGAAGAGGAAGGAGCCCTCTCTTCCTAACCATTTGGAGCTAGGATGAGGAGAAACCAAGGAGGAGCAAGGGAGAAATGGAGGTGAACCAGCTTCTTCATCATGTTGAGAAGCTCAACCAACACCCCTAGTATCCTTGGTAAGCTAGAATCGAGTTTAAGGCTTTAGATGTATGTGTATTCACTTCGATCTACATGTGTTGGGGTGGAGTGGAGTGGAACTTAGTTTAATTCCATTCCAATCCACTTCAACACATGTGGATTAAGATGAATACGTGCGCATCTAAACAAGGCCTAAATCATCACTCTTATGAATCACATGTTCATCACCTAAAAAATGTCCCCCAATGCTTGAAATTGTTCGAGAAACGAAATTTTGTTCTTTTTGAGGCGGACCGTTATCGTTACGTCATGCTCCGGCGGTCCGGCCTGCCTGTAAATCCGACAGCGGCCCATCAAATGTTTATTTCAACAACCGCGGGACCCTGAAAATTTTTGAACAAATGGGAGGGAAACACAAAAGGTGGGGGTTTTCAAATCAAAGCCTCGAAAAACTTCTTGCTTCCCCACTCCTGTAGCGCCGCCGCCGTGATCCGCCATCCGCCTCCGTTCGCCGTCCCCCGCTTCCCCCGGTAGTGGTTTTCGTCCTTCTGGTTCACTCCCCGGCGGATCCCATGCCGATCGATGGGATGGGTTCTGTGGTCGCGACGGTGAGCGGCTACCACGGCGACGAGCGGCACAGGCTCGTGAACCTCATCGCGGAGACCGGCGCCAGCTACGTAGGATCCATGAGCAGGTCCATCACCCACCTGGTAAGCCACTACGCATCGCCTCGCCTGCTGGTTGGGCATCGATTTTTAGTTGGGTGATTTGATTCCACGCGATGAGAAACTGGATCTGGTGCGCGCTACTTGCGGGCAGGTGTGCTGGAGGCTCGAGGGGAAGAAGTACGACATCGCGAGGAAGCTGGGGACTCGCGTCGTGAGCCACCGGTGGTTCACGGAGTGTCTCAGGGAGGGGAGGCGCCTCCCAGAGGACCCCTACTTGATGGTAAGGTAGGGGCAATTTTTCTTCAACTGTTTTGAAATTGTGATATGATTAGACAAGTACTCTGTTGCTGTTTCACTTGTGCGAATCCATATACAAATGTGAAACTGGAAAGAGCAATTATGTTTCCACAGATGTGCTGCCTTGATAGAACGAAATTGCTGTGGACAGTTCTAATCCATCTCACGTTTTGTTCTAAGATTTGTGTCAACATGCTGACGGTATTTCTCAGATAAAACCTCATCTTTCCTTTGGATTAATAGTTGCGAAGAAGCAGGGACAGTCCCTTTAAATACAAGTCACAGATACCATCTTATTCTGTAAAATTGTTGGCTACTTACTCAGAAAACCTTCATTTCTGCCTGGTACACAGTGGTGAAGAAGCAGGGCCAGTCCCAGAGCTGCCTGCTCGTTCCCGTACACAAGGCAAGAAAAAAGCCATCATGGAGGACAGGGTTTTCCAAGAGTTACCTGATGATTTCTGGGACACTCCTCCAGCCAGAGCCAGCTATAAAGTTAAGCTTGATGATTCTGATTCTGATTTTGAGTCTGCCCTACTAAAAGAAGTAAGAATCATAACCTTCATTTCATTTTGTTCCTGCATGCAGACCCATGATCATGATGTTGTATTGTCTAATACAATGTGCAATTCATCATGTTTCTTATATCTCCATTCTACTGCTTTGATGCTATGTCTAGCATATGTGTAATATTGCCCAATCATGGTTCAGCTGGAATCTGTTGCGGTAGAAATGATTCTGTGGGTATATGAGGGCGACAGTTGTTGTGTATTAGAATATGACCTTCCATCTATTCATAAAACATGGCTGCTGGTTGGTAGAGCTGATAAGTCTGATTATATCTGATAATTGGTAATTTATTAGCTGATAAGTTCAAATTTGTGGATGGAATTTGACTGAAAATGGGGAAAAACATGAGTTTGACCATTTTTTTTCAATTTAAGTCTGATATATTGGCATGTACTAGTTTATAGGACCTCACTGATAACACCAACACTCAGCAACATATTGCTGAGATGCTGATAGAACTAACGACACACATATCTAAGCTGAATATAAAGATATGTAGCTCTCCAGCGTATCTGATAAAAGTATGTATTTGTTCGATTGAATTGTCAAACTTTTACCTTATATGTACCCCTCCCTACATACCTATGGCCTAAGCATAAAATTAGTTTTCCAAAATTTCTCGAAAGTGCACTGGAACTGTGTTTATTCTTCATTTTAAAATTATGGCATTCATAGTGTCATGTAGCAGTTGATAATCAAATGTGTGTTTCACCGTGAACTTACTTTTCCAAAAATAACGATGTGTATTGCGCTATATGTTTTCTGATGGAGTTTGGTTGACCTGCTGACTTCAGAATTCTGTTGATGATGGGAATTCTAAGAAAAATCTTTCATCAGTCGTTAAGAAAAGAAGAAAACGTATGAAGCATGTCAATACATCAGCGGACAGAGATGTCTTAAACCTGCAGGACGATGTGTCATGTGTCATGGTAATATTTATATGCAAGTTCATATTTATCAATCCCTTCTTTTGTTGTGCTGTAGCCTAGAAAGTTTAGGTGTCCTCTGCTTACTCTCCTGAAATATCTTAATTTGTTTATGAACATCAGTATTCTTATCCTGAATCCTGATCAAGCACCCTTCAAAAGGTTTATATTTTTGGTGCTCAGTTTGTTTAACAATTATATTGGATGAACACACAATCTGGTAGGCGGTAGCTTAGTCACATGAAGAAAAGGGCTCAGTACCTTCTGTACAGTTGCTTAAGGACTCAAGGCACCGCCCCTTTATGGTGATAAGTATTGTTTTCTTTATGGAGGTGACATTGATTATTTTTTTGCATGTTGTCCATGTTGGAGATTACAAAATCAATGTTGCGACCGCCGCATCTCATAGCTTACACCTGTTTGGGTAATATAGGTTTTGATGAATAAATGTGCACAGCTTGCTTTTTAACTTTCACTTGCCATCACATTTTTATTTGCAATCTTATGCACATATCAAATGACAATGCAGGCAAGACAGTGCCTTCATGTGTCAAGTCATACAATGTCCCAGAGCACATCAAAGCAGAAGGGAAACTTGTCACGGTTGCTTCACAATGAAGTTCCTATCAGGATGGGAGAAAGGAACAATCTTACTGAAAACTTTGAAAATGATAGTTTGTCTGACAGCTTCAGTGAACCTCAAACTTCAGATATTCTGTGTATAGAAGCTCAAAGAAAGTTTACCAAGACAAGTGCGCCATCATCATCACTTCGACAAAGTACCCTGGATTCTCTATATGAATTTGGTGAAACTAGTAGGCATGAACCAGCAGGAAGAAAAGAACTAGACAACGTTGAATTAAAGGAGACTTCAAGAAGCTTACTTCCATTTGATTTGTCAGGACAGGAACCAGCTTTCTGTACTCAGGAGCAAGTAGATAAATGTAGCCTTGGCATTCTAGCTGATGATGAAATGGGATATGATAACGAACCCATGGAAAAATCAACTAATTCAGAAACGCAAGCAGAATTATCATGTGTCATATGCTGGACAGATTTTTGTTCAACAAGGGGTATCTTACCATGTGGACATCGATTCTGTTATTCATGCATTCAAGAATGGGTGGATTGTCTGGTATGTATCAGTTTGATTCTTGTTTCTTGACCTTTGCTTATATTAGATTCTTGATGTACTCAATGTTTTGAAGATGTATCTGTTTCCCTACTAGAACCCACTTGCCTTCTTGAGGGGTTTGGTTCAGACTAACGGGCGAAACAGCCGCTGAAGCTGCGGCTGTGGCTTTTATTGTCTCAGGCAAATACTGTACCAGCAGTGATAGCTTTCAGCAGCAGCTGCTTTTACTGATGCAGATTCAAGATAGCTTTATACAATAACTGAAAGCAAATGATACCAACTCATAACATGTAGGAAACATAAGTACGAAATAAAAAAGAAACACAACTAATACATTCCATCCAATTAATGGCAAGTCTTGTGCCAAAGGGATTAGCAATAACCTCACTCTGCTATAGGTTATTTAGTTTTTTCCCATCACCATTAATGTTCAACTAGAAATGGTTATTCTTAGTGCTGCATCCTGCATTTCAGGCTTCTAAGGGTAAAGTCTCAACATGTCCACTTTGCAAAGCCAGTTTCACATGGATCAGTAAGGTGGACGAGGCAGGCACCTCAGATCAGAAGATATACTCGCAGACCATTCCTTGTGAAGCTTCTACTGATGTTTTTGTGTTGGGCAATGAAGGCTATGATTTCTCTCGATCAACGGTGAGATCTTATTATTCCATGTATACTTACTGCTTAAATCAATTGGATCTGCAATGCTTACCCCTCTGTAAATTGAATCTATTGTCTAGGCTGGGCAAGGAGCATGCTACCAGTGCCACTTCCGTGAACCTGAGGAACTTCTTCAAAGCTGCCAGGTCTGCAGATCACAGTGGGTACACTCGTACTGCCTTGATCCTCCGATGAACCGTTGGACATGCATGCACTGCAGAGATCCGCGGATGCTGTTTCACCGGTATCGTTAGCCCCAATTAGGATACTCATGTCAAATTTTGCCAGAGGCCCGATTGAGATTGTTGAAGGAAATTACTGTATATCAGAAGGCATGAACGCCATATCGGCTTGTCTCACTGAATAACCAATAAGTTTGCAATGTAATTGCCAAGTTCCATTTGATGTCTATACTCTAACATTGATTGCTGAGGGTGGATGCGAGCTTATTGAACTCCAAACAGTATCTTCTTAGCATAAAGAAGTGGAACCTAGTGTCAAATGTAGCCTCCCAAAAATGATACTGATTACTCCATACTGATTACTCCCACAAATATGACCTATCAATTCCTTCTATACAGGTAAACATTCCTATTGATACTCACATTTATATCCATATCTTAATGACTTAATCTATATTTGATATAGGTCACATTTATATTTTAGAAAAATACTTTAACCTAGCTGGCTGGGTTTCCATTTTTGTTCGATAAAAGTGACTTCTGACGCATATTCGTATCCATATTTGGGAAACGAATTTGAATGTATCCATATTGGTATGTACGTAAAATATTTGTCAACTGAAAAATATTTCTTAGTACCACCACATATTCACATTTGAATATGAATATCAAGTTATATGGATATATATGCTATCGATTTTAATTCCACCCTAGTTTTTTTTTTGGAGGGAAATTACACCCCTAGCTGGAGTGCTCGTATATGCCACACGGAAAAGAACTAAGCAACAGCCTAAGCAACACGCAAATACCGAAATATGGAACTGGTGGAGAGATTACCCATCTTTGATCTTGCTACTATATAGGCAGGAGCTGCAAAACTAATCAAGGCAACAATCCGGCTCGGCTCTGCATTGCGCATTTGGGGTAGCGTGATGCGAGCATGCATGCGCTAGCTAAATTGCATCCATTCCAATCTGATCGGGACTCTTCGCGCATCTCGATTTTCATCCCGTCAGACAAGGAAAATGGCAAGATGCGTGCTGATTTTATGCCCATTTGCGAGTCTTGCGTGTGAAGGTAACTTTACAGATTATATGGAAGTTTTCTAGTTGTAATGATCGATAGGGACTTTTGCAAAGCCGTACTGTAACGCCTAAGAGCAGGTACAATGATCGGCGAAACGAACACCATGTCATCAGCGTGCATGTGATGGAGGAGAGAGAGCGCGTAGCTTGGCGTTGCTTCTGTCGTCGAGCTCGTCACGGAAACCAATACTCTTCTTCCACTCTTTGGAGACTATAGGAATTGATGTATGACACTAGCAAGTGGTCCCAGTATAACCATAAAATACTATTTAGACTCACTACGGAAAAACCGATTTTTAGCAACGGTTCAAATTTTTTTTTAGGGGCGGTTGGTGTTGGAGCCGCCCCTACAGTGGCGTGCTCGGGTGCGTAGACACCAGCTGCTCCTACAAATGGAACAGCAGGGGCGGCTGGTGTTACGAGCCGCCCCTACAAATAGGATCTGATTTGTAGGGGCGGCTGATGATTGAGCCGCCCCTACAAATGGCCCCGTATTTATAGCTCCGATTTGTAGGGGCGGCTCAATCACCAGCCGCCTCTACAAATGCCCCCCATATAAAATAGATGCATCACCTTCTTTCTCCTCGGATCACTCACTCCAACCCGTGAAAGAAAGGTGGGAGGCCTTGGGCACCTCCCAAAAATTGTTGTACTAAGGGGGGAAGGTTTTGGTCTCAAACCCTTTGGTGGAGAGGTTGTAGAAGATAAGAAAATGCTATTTCATACTTTTTTTAAAGTTTTAATGGTTGGTTAGTGAGTAATTAGAGTTTTGTTTTTCTCTCTCTTCTATGGTGCTTGAGCTATTTATGAAGCAAATTAGACCTAACTTTTAAATATATTAGGATAAATTGGGGAGGAAATAAGATCATACCCTTATTTGGTCAATGTTTCTTGATTTTAGTGAACAATTAGTTAGTTTTATGGATGTTTCATGTGCATGTGGATCTAGATCTAAGGTTTGGTTTTTTTATTAATTTCGTTTTTGTAAATTTATGTTTGATGAAACTGGACTAGGGTTTGTATAAAAGATATTGAGTAAAGTATAATTGTTGCTAATTGTTGTCTTTGAAATTATTTATTATAATCAATAAATATGTATTTTAATTATTTATGGATAAATGGGCCGTTAATTAATTTTCTTTTACCATGGTGTGTTTGTATGCTTCATGTACTTATATTAGATTTATATTCATATATATCTAAAGTATATACAATTATTCTCAAGTAATTATTAATTTGTTTCATTTTTATATATATCTGAATAAGTAGTCCTTTAATATTTGTTTTGTTGTTGTTGTAAAAGATGGAGTACAGGAACTCTTGGATGTATGGTTCGTTAAGGTTCAAGGCAGGTTTTCGTGAAGAGGTGGATAAATTTATTGAAGCCGCAAAGAAGCATGCAACGACATTGAAAGAGAATAAGGATACAATTATTTGTCCATGTAAAGATTGCAAGAACCGTATGGCATGGATAGATGTGACTATCATCAGATCACATTTGATTATGCGAGGATTTGTTGAGGACTACACAGTATGGATTCATCATGGTGAAACGGTTATTGTTAACGACGAGGATGAGGAGAAATACGGCGACGAAACCATAGAATCCCTGTCCCAATATTCAGCAGAGCTTGATGCACGAATGGATTTCGAGTTTGGCAATGAACAAGGTAGTGATGCTGGTGGTTGGGATGGTAACGACGAAGGTGGTGCCAATAATGATGGTGGAGCATGTGTCGGGGATGAAGATGATTTGGAGGACATGATTCGAGCCCTTGGACCTGAGATTTTACTAAATAGCCTGAAAGGTCTAGAAAATTTAGAAAGGGTGACAAAAGCATCGAAGGAGACTATGTATGGTATTAAAAAGGGTTGTCCGACACATTGGACATTGCTACGTTTTGTGCTTGAGCTGCTCATCCTGAAGGCTAAGTACGGTTGGTCAGACTGTAGTTTCAATGATCTATTGCATCTCCTGTCATGGGTGCTGTCACAACCAAACTCAGTTTCCACCAACACATACCAAGCGAATAAGGTCATAAGTCCATTGACAATGGGGGTTGAAAAAATCCATGCATGCCCCAACCACTGTATACTTTTTCGTGGCGAAACGTTCAAGTCACTGGATAAATGTCCCCGGTGTGGGGCCAGCCGGTACAAGAACAATGATCTTTACGGTGGGGACGAACCCTCCACGGGGAAAAAGATGAATAAGAAGGGTACCAAAAATGTGGTACAAGAATCTCAGCCCCCAGAGGATACTCCATTAGGCAACGATGCAAAGCAGAGAAGAATTCCTGCCCTGGTAATGTGGTACCTGCCAGTGACCGACCGCTTGAGACGTATCTTCCTAAACCCTAAAGAAACTGCACTCATGACATGGTGGGATGATGAGCGCAAGGTGGATGATGATAAAATTGCACACCCAGCTGATTGTAGTCCGTGGCAAAGGTTTGATGAGAAGCACAAAGAATTCAGCGATGACCCAAGAAATGTACGGTTTGGCTTGGGCACCGATGGAATGAATCCCTTCAGTGAGAGGATGAGCGACCACAGCACATGGCCAGTGATCTTGACCATGTACAACATCCCAACATGGTTGTGTCAAAAGAGAAAGTATCTTCTCCTCACTATTCTTATTTCTGGCCCTAAACAACCAGGCATTGATATAGACGTGTTCCTCGAGCCCTTGATGCAAGAAATGGAGAGGCTATGGAGGCATGGGGAGCAGATGTACGATGCATTCTGAAAGGAGGACTTCATATGTAGAGCAATAATATTTGTTACTACCAATGATTACCCCACGTTGTTTGCTTTGTCTGGACAGATCAAAGGGAAGACGGGATGCTTGGTTTGCTTAGATGATACTACATGGGTGTACCTGGATGCATCCAAGAAGATAGTTTACCTAAGGAATCAACGCTTCTTAAAGACAAGTCACAAGTACCGCAGCAAATTGTTCTTTAGATTTTATGACAACGTCCCGGAGATTGAACTCCCTCCGGAGAGATGTCATAACAGAGAACACGTGTACAGAATGGTGAAAAACATACGCGTCATCTATGGAAAGAAGAATCCGGATGGGACGAACAGAGATAGAAGCACACCTCCTGTCGAAGGCGTACCTTTCAAGAAACAATCGATCTTCTTTCAGTATCTGCCTTATTGGCCAGACTTGGAGGTCCCCCATGCCATTGATGCTATGCACGTGTAGAAGAATGTCTTTGAGAGTCTCATTGCTACCTTGGTGGACACAGGCAAGTCAAAGGATGGTCTGGAAGCACGGAAAGACATGGTGCAGCTAAACGTGATGCCACAGCTTCACCCGGTACCTGAGGCTAATGGAAAATACACTCTGCCCGCGGCGTGCTTTAACCTAACACCAGACGAGAAGAGAGCTATATGCACTTTCCTAAGAGGGATCAAAGTCCCGATTGGGTTTTCAGCAAATGTAAAGAAGCTAGTGTCGATGAAGGACTTGTCAATAACACACTGCAAGGCTCATGATTGCCATATGATGCTGACAATATTTCTACCTATTGCAATAAGGGCTATAAAGCCAGAGTTCTTGAAAATGGCCATTACCCGCATGTGCTACTTCTTTTCAAAGATCTCACAGAAGATGATTGGCAAGGAAGAGCTGAGTGACCTACATGAATTTGTGGTGGAGACACAAAATCAACTGGAGATGTGTTTACCTCCTACTTTTTTTGATATAATACCACATCTCATGATTCACATGGTTCATCAAATACAGGCGCTTGGCCCTTGCTACTTGCATGAAATGTGGTCCTATGAGCGGTTCATGTCAGTTCTAAGTCGATACGTGCATAATCGAGCATACCCAGAGGGCTCCATGATAGAGGGTTACAGTATTGAAGAAGTCGTCGAGTGCTGTCAAGAGTACCTAAATGTACAGAAAGGGATTGGTAAACCTGATTCTCGTCACAAGGGTAGGCTGGCTGGGAAGGGCACCAGTGGTAGAAAAGTGTTCATCGACCATGATTACAAAGAGGTGAGTCGGGCGCACTACAGTGTCTTGCAGAGTACACAACTGATGCAACCGTATATTGATGAACACTTGGCTATCATTATGGCAG